AGTTAGGTTGCTGTGATTTTTCATGGGCAGTCAGTAAGAGATAAAAGGTCTTTGAACTGATTTTCATAGAAAGAGCAGAAGCCACTGTTCCACGATCAGGAGCAGGGAAACATTGAAAAAATATTTTAAAAGCAGTATCCAACCATGGGCTTCTGACCCAGCTTTTCCCAGTTTCGTGATAGTCCTTTGAACTAAACTAAAACTTTTGCAATATTGCCAATTAGAGAAATTACAATTTATTCTGGAGCCAGGTAAAACTTAACCTAAGTAAAAGTTATAAAAATACTGCATTTATTGCAGGTTGCAGGGCCACCATTCAAAGCCAATACTTTAATAGCCTTCACCAAGCTGTTAGGAGCCCCTACACATATTCTTCGGGATTGCGTACACATCATGAAACTGGAGCTGGTAAGTCCATTTTGTTCTCATCATTATTGCAAATATTTTCTCTGCTTAAACTGAAAGTGGATTATTTATCTATTTCAATGGCATGTTTTATTCAATAGTTTCCTGATCAGGCAAGCCAGCTGAAATGGAATGTGCAGTTTTGTTTGACAATTCCTCCAAGCGCTCCACCAATTGCACCTCCAGGAACACCTGCGGTTGTGCTGAAATCGAAAATGTTGTTCTTTGTAAGTAAAATAGTGGGTGCTGAATGCTTTAAGAACACATGTAATAAAGTTAATTCACTGCTTTTACTGAGCTTAAGTATGACTAGTATAACCTATATTAGCATCTTTTAAAAAAAACAAACTTTTCGGAACTAGTCGAGTTACTTAGATTAAAAAAATAGTTCCTATTTGTTATGATAGCTCAGCCTTCCTAAACTAATACGTTTTTGAACAGCAACTTTCAGAATTCCAAGCAACAGGGGGAAAAAATCAATTAAAAGACACGTACTTTCTTCGGAAATAGAGCCTTTTAAACTCATATATGTAGGTATAGCTATTATCAGCAATCATAACAAGCCCTAACAATAGTAAAATGGCACACGCGTCATGATATAATTGATACAAGTACAAATGATACAATTACATACATACGGTAAGTTGCGTCATTTGTATGAGATTATGGTGCATGTAGCATTATTTGCTCATCTTGCTTTTTTCCATGAACACCTCTAGTAATGCTCTACTAGAATTATTAAGCAATTAAATATTACAAATTAAATTTGTGATATTGAAATACTGTATAGATGCAGAATTACTGTGGTAATCATTGTACATATTGTTCTGTTTGGCAGCTTCAGCTAACACAAAAATCTGCAGTTCCACAGGAAGCCATGAGCATAATCGTTCCAATCATTTATGACATGGCTTCAGGTACCACACAGCAGGCAGACATTCCCCGGCAGCAGAACTCTTCCGGTGCTGCTCCCATGATGGTTAGCAATATTCTAAAGAGGTTTGCAGAACTGAATTCACCACGGCAAGGTACTGTACATGTGCAGTAGGGCAAATCATGTGCATGCTTGAGTTGCCAGAGTCTCAACAATTAAAAGTTTAAATATTGCACTTTATCATGAATCTTGCTTTGCCTTCATTGGTTTTATGAAAACCTGGTTTCAGTTAATGCATGTACGTGATAAACTGTCTGAATATACCTTTGTGGTGTCAGAAGGGTTGTATTATCAACATGACATGGACTTTATATCATTGACCAAGGAAGCGTAATGCACTTGATGAGTTGCTTATACTACTGTGGTCATAGTTACCTTATTTTAAGCATTACCATGTGTCTTGCTGTATATACTTGTGTAAAAAATATATCTTCCCATTTATTGTAATTTAACTGTTATGAGGCTGGTTGCCTATCTTGTTCTCATTTGTACTCTTTCGAGGAAAGTTGGGGAGCCAGCAAAATGGACCGATTTATAAATTATTTATAAAGTAACGTATTACAGTACTAGCTTTATTTTCTGTATTTCATAACTAGCTCTTGCCCTGACTGTATCTTCTCTTCTGTGCTGCCTTCTTTGTTTCTGTGAGATGCTTTTGTATTCAGTTTCTCTTTTTCCCTTAATAAAAGTGTTAGAAACTTTTGAAATGCACTTTTTTTTCCAACAGTTTTATTCTTGGGTTTGCAATTTCTGCCCAAGACACTAACCTCTCAGAAGATTTCTTCTTTTTCTTGTTAACTGCTTTTTGGCTTGGTTTGAAATTACAAATAATTATATTGGCTTTATAGGGTAGTATGATCATACTGATGAGCACTGATTCTAAAGTTGCACTGTATACACCACGACTATATGCAAGCAGTTTATAGGATTGAGGTGGTATGGATGGTGCCTCTTCAAATGCTTGCCTTTACTTTTGGTAATACTCCATCTGAACCTCTGAATCGTCATGGAGGTAACTGATTTTGGGAAGGTTAGCCATATATTTCTACGAAGGTGTATGGTTCAAGGTGAATTATCCAATGTTCATGTAATGGTCACTAGCATTTGGAATATTACATGGGCTACCTGTAATTCATGCATGCTTCAGAGAGCAGCTTAACTGTGAGTTACTTATGCAGTGTTGCTTGTGGGAGGGGAAATGCAGTTATAGATTGTAATTGAACAATTAGTGGGGCATTGGTCACCTGACTCTACACTTGGGGCTTAACCAAAAACTGGAGAAAAAAATAGCATTTATGGTTTTAAACTTGCAACATCTTTTCTCACATCACTATGAAACATAATGGCATCAAAATAATTAATGCATGCCTTCTAAATAGAAGTTTTGAGACAACCCCATGGCTACTTTTCACTACTTTTATCATTTTGAAATAGTAAATTGAAGCCTAGTGTACATGTACGTAACATATATACTCTCTGCTAGAAATCTTCCTGTCTTATAGGGGCTTCATGGATTGTATTCCTTAAAGGGTAAATACAGCAGCACTTTCAGAAGCTGTAGGCATGGTTTGTGGAGTTTTTGCCAAGTTAAAAATAAAAAACATTCTGCTTCAGCTATTACTTTTGAAATTGTGGCTTTTCTTTTGTCTTTGAGTCTCTTGTCAAGAAAAGTGCTGGGATTCTCCTAGAGTTGTTTTATGGTTTGTATAGTGTTGATATAATTAATTTCTAATACTATTGACTTCTTATTCTGATTTAGTAACTTTTTCATTTGAAGATTGAAAAATATTCCAGAGTTTAATAGTTAATGTAACTGTTAACAGCAATGCTGGCAATAGCTGTCCAATTATTTTGCATTTTCCAATAATCATCAAAAGTGTTCTTCAGTACTATTAGCATGAATTGGTCACTCTTTGGCAATATAGTTTAGCATTCACATTTCCTTTACGGGAGCACAGGACATGAGACACTGAGAAAAATATTTACAGCCAAATAGAATTTGATTGCTAATCCACAATCAATATTTTGGCTTTTTTAAATGCATGATTTTTCCTGCATATGGAAAATCTTATTAGCTTGGCTAGAATAATATGTGCACATATTATGTAGTAATTGGTATTTAAAAGACATACCTTTTATTTTCTGTACCAACTATGCACTTTCTGGTAGGTTAGAACCAAGCAGTTATATAGACCATTGGAATTGGTTTATGGTGCATAAATTGTGTATTTGTTACTGTTACAGTTGTTTACATTTTGATATTTATCACTGCCATAACGTAATCCCACTTCTCTAATTTGTTTTTCTTTCCCTTGTTCTAGGTGAGTGTACAATCTTTGCAGCTGTTCGTGATTTAATGGCTAACCTTACATTGCCCCCTGGGCGCCCATAGGCTTTTATACAAAGGGTAAAAATGAGATGAAATGGAAAAACTCTCTGAAATAAAGCCTTTGGTTACTTAGAATGAATGGAAGAGACATTTTCACGTGTCACAATTTTAAAAGAGCTGATACAATGGATTGGCCTACTTTCAGGGATGCACTTTCATCAGTTTTTTTTTTCTTGGTACAGCACTCTTAAAATGTTTTAAGAAGACATTTCAGACTCATAATAAATTTATGTATCCGCTTGGCAGTAAATAAGAGTTAATATTCTGTTTTATACTTCAAAGATTATGAAAATGCCAAATTTGTTTATTTAAATGTTTTTTCTGATGTCTTGGTGTAATAGTCTTTTTTTAAAGCAGAGCTGTCATCTTTTGAATACTGTAAAACTGTGACAAACTTTATATTGAAACTGTATTTTAATATTACTGCTTTAAAATGTTAAAAATGGACTTGTTATAAACATGTCCCCAAACACAATATTTAATAAACCAGATTTTTTAAATAAAGGGTTACTTTTAAAATGTGTATTTATATAGGAAAAAAACCTGTAAGGTTCACTCAGCATTGTATTTTGTGCTTTTCATTAGATCATCATTGTTGGCAATCATCTCTGTATCAAATCAAATAGTAGGATGTTGCCAGATGCTTTTAGTAAAGCTAATGATTTCCAGAAATGCCCGGAGCAGCTATGAGGATGACTGTTCTTTTCCTCAACTTTATTGGTTCTCAGACAGTACCTTGCTGTCAGCTGCCTTGAGTTCTAATACTCTAGTACCTTCTGTCCAGCTTCTTAAATTTATGTGCTAAATGTCAGATGAATTTGAAACAGGTCCTTTTTAAATAGAAGGATTTATTTTGATGGGCTATAAGGGGAAAAGGTAAAAATCGTATTCAGTATAGCTAAGCCAGAACTAAAAATATGTTCTGTATTGGTAATTCTTCATCCAAGGGGAATAGCAAGCAACCTGCTGGAAATAGCAACATAAGGTGACCATTTCATGTTGCAGCTGTATTTTGTCAGTTAATTTATTGTGTCCAACTGTGGAACATCTTAATGGCATGAAGATGCTGTGTGTTAAATTTAGGATTACCAGATATCTACATAGGCAAAGGAAGATGGGGACAATTGGAAAGATGGACAAATGGGAGGAGGGCACATTCTTGGCATCTGTTACAAAAATTATGATGAAAAACTGCAAAAACAAAATGTATTTATGTCTACACATATATGACTTTTTTCCAGCATCAGAAAGACTGGTTTTTGAATTGCAGGGATGTGCAAGAGCCAGTTGGAGGCAAAAGCCTTCAGTGGGTAACTGATTAAGCTGGCAACAAGTAACCAATAAAAGTCAGAGAGCTGAGTTCGTTAACTTTCAGTTTGTGTTTACTAAGGAAGCTTGCCTCACCAAGAAAAGCTGCTCACAAAAAGATAAACGTGTTAAGATATTCAACAAGCTGAACAATATTTGATTTTAATGTAGGAACTAAGGACTAAAACGAGGATATCTCCTCCTGTTGCTAGATGTCAGGTAACTAGTTGAACTCAAAAACTAAATTAAAACAGTATTGTAACTTCTTAAAACATGGAGGTGGACAAGGTCTCTTAACTGTCGGCCTGGGTTAGTGCTGGTGCAGAATGCAAAAAAGAAAAGCCAGTTTTTACATAGATTACAAAAGCCATATTCAGAATGGTGAAAGGCTGCTAAGCGTTTGAGTTTAGAAACGTGCTTGGAGAGTTAGGAAAATCCAACATCTAAGGAGGGCATCGAATTAGGGAAGGCTGTGCTTTCAGGAACTTTGCTGTTCTGTTCCTCTGTAGGGCGCTATTTTCCAGGAAATTACTTGGACGGGGAATTTCTCCCGAAACGTAACGGTAGAATGCAGTTCCCTATTAGGTCTTGTGCGGAGGAAAGATTGGATCGCGGTGGGATGACTTTGCTAAATCTTGAGAATCGAGTAGTGCAGTGTTTCTCAACCTTGACAATTGTAAGGCATGTGGACTTCAACTCCCAGAATTCCACAGCCAGCAATGCTAGCTGTGGAATTCTGGGAGTTGAAGTCCACATGCCTTAAAATTGTCAAGGTTGAGAAACACTGGAGTAGTGGATATTTTATTGAGGAACACTATGAAGTAACTACTCGAGGGGGAAAGGGGAATCCGAGTGTGGGTTGCTAAAGGTCGTCGAAGGCTTCAGCCCTTCCTCGAGAAATGACGACAGATACCCGCCCCGCTTTTTCACACGGCCGAATCTGGCCCCTCCCAGGCGACGCGGGTACGGGCTGGCGATGGCGGAACTGGCTGCGCGGCTGAACTGCGCCGAATATAAAAACTGGCTGAAGGCCGGGCACAGCCTCCTCCTCTTGAAAGCCGCCCTGCAGCGCTTCGCCGGCGAGCAAATTCACGCCTTCCATCGCCGGCTGATCGCGGGCGACTCCGCTCGCTTAACCCCGTCAGGCTTTCAGTGTGGCGGGCGCTGCGTCCCTCGAGGCAAGCAGGTGAGGCTTTCCCACCCCGGATCCGGAGCTTTGATCGTCGCAGGAGCCGGTGACGTCGCGCTACGTGGCCTCTGCGGAATCGATCGCCTCCCAGTTTGCGCGGAACTTGCCCGGGTTGGATTCCCTTCTGGGAAACCATCGACGCGCGTTCTCCGATGCCTTCACGTAGAATACTTGCATCTTTCCTGTACCTGGTGCTGGAAAGGATACATATCTTGTCCAGCAATCTCCAGATTGAGGAGCCTCGAGGGAGGTTGCCTTAGCTCAGTGTTTCTCAACCTTGACAATTGTAAGGCATGTGGACTTCAACTCCCAGAATTCCACAGCCAGCATTGCTGGCTGTGGAATTCTGGGAGTTGAAGTCCACATGCCTTACAATTGTCAAGGTTGAGAAACACTGCCTTAGCTAAACATTTGAATTCCAATTTTCCAGTTCCACCTCTTTCCTGTTCGGCTGTTTTCCTCCTCGTCCTTTTTTCTTCGGCACGAATATACTCTTCTCCCCACGAGAGGGGGATTTTGAGCCACTCGCGCCTCCCTCCTCCGGTCTGTTTCGTTCTCCTTAACCGCCCCCTCGTGGCGCCGTCCACGTAAACATCTGGGAGAGGGGCGGGCTTGCCGGAGGAAATCTTGAGTAGAACAAAGAATCCGGCTCGCCAGGCAGCGCCTCCTCTTGTGAGGGGAAGGAGAGAGAGGCTCGCTCCCGCCAAACACTCGGCATTTGCCCTTTCTTTTTACATAGCGTATGATAGATTCGCCGTAATTAATTGGAATGGAGGGCAGGTTGTCTAACTGGCAACTAGTTTTTGGGCATGTTACAAAGCTGAGCCTCGTTTTAATTCCTAGCCCTCAGAATAAATACCTAGCTTAGCAAATTGTATTTCAGCAATTCACAAATCAGATATAATGCAGGAACATCTCTTATTTGAAAATATCAAAACAAATTATGTCATATATTTGTATTTTTTTTAGTCAGAATGGGCGCAACGAAACACAACAGGAATATTTACTGTTCTTTTAGCCGTTGCCCTTTTTAAGGACCCCTGAAAAGATTGTAAGTCCTTACATGCCGATTTATATTCCATTTCAAAGTTTTCTTAACTATAATCAGCATGAAAGTCTTCACATCTACTCTTCTTTATTAGGCAGAACCACACAAGCTCTGTTACACATCCAGATGCAGATTATGATTTGTATTCAAAGGTGAATTTGCAAGTGCATTGAAGTATGCAGAGATCAAATAAGATTTGCTGAAGACTTTTTTCACAATGTGATGAATCAATGGACATTTTAAGACATTCACAAGAATGGATACACTGAGTTAAAGCTGAAAGGTCAATCAGACAATGACAATTTTTTAATCCAACTCATTTTTGGTGAAACAGTAAAACAATTTTCAACTGGCAGAGGTAATTATAAGCTAGAATTCCTCCCCACCTCCATTTCTAGGTTTCTAAAGCTCTATGACATTTTTCACAGAAATAGTCCCAGTCCTTTTTGCTATTTATATAGAGGATCCTATTGGATGCCAGTCTGGAACACGTCTGAGTAACCCATTAAAATTACAGATTTTTGTTGCTTCAGCACCTATGCCTTTCTTTTTCTTTTGGAACTAATATTTTTTTGGCCTTTCAAATTGAAAAAAAATCTAAAATAATCTTTGTGATTCCCTTGGGTAAAGAATTGTAGCATGTGGGGTTGGAGAGTTGTTTATATTGGTGTTTCTTTTGTTTTGCAGTTTCAACCTAGCTGCTCCTTATGTAAAGAATGGAAAAAAGAGATTTTGAGCCATCATACACACAAGATGGGGGATATTTATTGGGGGAACTGCAGACCATGGCTCTGGCCTTCTAATTCATGGGAACTGGCAAAGGTAATGCAAGACCATAAAATAAATTTCAAAAATGGAGCAATGGGGGGGGGGGAGCTCTGATACTGATACTCCCAAGGAGAGATTAAAACACATGGGCATTGGTGTAAGATTGTACAAATGCATTCTTGCTGTGGATAGTACAGTATGTGCATTGCCACCTCGTGCTTTGGAGCTTCATTCTATTAGAAGATGCTAACAGCATCTGAGTGTCATATAGTACAATTTGTAGTAAAGATAGGGTGATGCAGTGCTGCAGATTTAGTGCAGAAGGAGTTTCAGAATGTGCAGGAGTGCAATGTAACACACACACACCCTTCATTAGAGCAGCCCATTTGTTCTGAAGTATCTACGAGACCGCCTTCTGCCACAGATTCCCTCCCACAGACCGGTACGCTCCCACAGAGCGGGCCTCCTCAGGGTGCCGTCGGCCAGGCAGTGTCGGCTGGCGACCCCCAGGGGGAGGGCCTTCTCTGTGGGTGCCCCCACCCTCTGGAACGAACTACCCCCCGAGATCCGGACGATCCCGGATCTCCTAACCTTCCNTGACCTAGGGTGAATTTTAAATAGGGAAAATTTTTAAAGATTTTAATAATGACACAGCTATAAATATTTGGTTTTTAATTGGCTTTTATAGGGGAAATGTTTTTGTGTTGTTTTAACATGCTGTGAGCCGCCCTGAGTCCCGTGGGGAGAAGGGCGGCATATAAGTTAGTGAAAATAAATAAATAAATAAATAAATAAATCTCTTTGAACTGAATTCAGAGGGTTGCACAATTTACGGTAGTAATATAGATAAACCAGGAAGGCCTCAGTCTTTCTTCCTGGATATTGCTACACTGATACCCTGTGTGTTTAAGTGCAGAGAGAGAAAGAGAAAGCACAAATATGCCTGCCTGCTTCTGCCTACTGACCTTTGGAATACAATTATGTTGGATTTCAACCTCCCATAATTCCTAGCAATATGACAGGCCCACAAAGGCTGTCAGTAAAACTGTAAATAGGAAAATGACATCTGCAAAAATAAATTGAGCCAAAGCCACTTTTCTTGTTCACAAGAAACCTAAGATTACAACCACTTATTGCTACCTGCATTCATTTGATTAATCTTATTCTCTGATATAAAGCTCAGTTATGAAATGATGTTTTCTTGGTTTCTGAGACAGGAACAAACAGCACTGACCATGTATGTTTTTCTTTATTGTTCAGGCTTATATGCCTCGTGGGAAAGCCGATACTTATGGTCCTGACAAGTGTGATGCATCAGCACTCTTAAACCTTTTCATTTTCTGTGATCACTTCAACAATATTGATCCAAAGAAAATCAGAGAGGTATCCAACAATGAGTGTTTGAATGACGTTTCTTTTATTAATTCTTAGCAGGCAATCAGAAATATATTCCCTGAGGCATAACTGGTGACTGCCGCCCTCTCTAAAAGACAACATCACTTTTTTCTGTTTTACTTCTCTGCACTTGAATTGAGGATTTATGTGGAGATGGCAAAACTTAGGGAGAAAAGTAACTATTCCCCTTTTGTCTAAGTCTCTGCAATTCATAGAAAACTCAGAGATTGGGTGATTTTTTTCCCCTTCCCACAGACTTATTTCAGCTTCAGAAAGTTGTCAAGACCTAGTTATTGGATCAATGTTGTGACTTCTTATCCCTGCTTTGCCTACACATGGACATTTCAGGATGTCTTTCAGGGGAACCTACACAGTTTTAAACCACAGTTAAAAACTCAGCTCTGTGACCTTAGTTGATTAGAACCCTCCCCCCTGCTGGCACTGTTGCCTGAAACTGACCAGATCTTAATTAGTTTCACACTGAAGGTTTTTATTGTCAGTGGCAGGAAACTTGATCCTAAATGTGCACATTGATTAGAAAATTGCTGAGGTAACCACTAAGTAGCTGTATTTCTGCCCAGTCCTAATGTTTTAGTATAAATGAATAAAATAAACAATACAATATAATCAAATCTTGAACTGAACCTTTTGAAATAAAATCATCTTTTGGTGATACTACAGTATGGAATGAAAAGTAAGGGATTGTTTCCTGTGGAGTGCTATGCATATTTCCTTTGGCAAAGATTATAAATGCAATCTAGAAAATTTTTCCTTCTTCTTGTTCTACAGTTATACATAATTGAACTTTTTTCTAAATTATTCATATTTTGTGAAAAGATGTAACTGATTTCTTTTCAGTAGTTTGTATATGCTTATAGATGTCAAATACCACACAGTGTAATAGACATAAGGTTGATTATTGTGTGAGAAGGGTCACTAAAAATTGTATATTCCTTCATGGACTATAACTTTTAAATGTATTTTCCATGTGGAATGTTTATGAGCTGGTACTACTGACAGCATTATGTTGTTCTGGCATAAAATTTGTGTAACTCGGAGCTGTAATTTGAGAACTGGATCTCCCTACCATTGCCCATAGCAGATTTACAATATGCTTTTTGGTATACATTTATATCTTTAGGTGATAAAGTGCCGCAATGAGCTAATGCATTCTGCAGATATGAAAGTCTCTTTTTCCTGGTTGAAACAATTTGGAAATCATGTCCAAAATTTGCTGACTGAATTCTACCAGGTTCCAGAGGCTCAGACAGCTTGTCATAGGATACAAAAGGTAATACTTGCAAGTTTTCTAACATATTACATGGCTGCAATTATTAATATTTCTTAGTTTGGCACTCTAATGAATATTGGACAAAATGACACTGTGTAGTTTGTGGTCTAAATCGGGATTTTTTTTCAGGCCATAAAATCCGTTAGTTAAAAATTCCTTCCTTCTACTTCCTTTCTTCCTTTCCAGAAAGAGAAAAAAAATTTGAAAATAAACCACCAACATTTATACCACAAACCCATATACAAATTTAATTATTAGTACTTATACTTTTAAGTTTTACTTAGCCTTTGTCTCAACTCAAAACAATATCTTAAATTCAAATCTTAATTATTTGTAGAATTCAGATTTTTAGCCAATCAGTAACCTGATGGTTAGTTTTCCCTTAATATTTTAATTTAACATTTAATATTTAATTTTTCCAAATTTTTAATTAAACACAATTCCTTTATCCCGATTGCTCATACATTCTAATATTTAAAATACACATCTTATATATAAATTCTACGCTCTATCTTACCCATCTAATGACAATATAATATTCTTATTTCAACATATTTCTAGATTTTATATGACCAAAATTTTCCTTATCTCAAATTGTTACAATGTCAGAATACATATTCTACCTATTTAGATATATTCTATTTTAGATCTCATATATAGATCAGAACCCCAATCTTTTTCAATCTTATACAAAGGAAGAAGAGAAAAAAAATTATTAGCTCCAAATGTGAGATAGGAGACTTAGAAATTGGGATTATTTAAAACCTGGAAATGATAAAGATTAAACGTTAAACTTAAATATCAATGGGAAATTAAAGTTAAGAAAAACTTACTAGGTTATTGTCTAAAAGGTGGAATGTCAAATTAATTAAGATATGTATAGACTGAAGATTATTGATGAATATTAGAAAAGTATTTTTGTTTGATTAATAGAATAAGAGCTGTATTGGTTTGAACATGACAGTAGATATCATGGGGGAAAGAGAGGGAATTAGTTTGTTGTAATAATTTGAGATTTGTACTGATGATATTCAAATGTAACGGAATTACTGTGCTCAGCCGCCACGCTGCTTTTCAAATATGTAAATGTAATATTGTAAAATCAATAAAAAACTTGAAACTCCAAAAAAATAAAAAATTCCTACAACCTCTGATCCTCAAAATAGCAACTGTTATTTCCAGTGTTTCTAAGAACAAATGCTTTGGATGCCCTAGCTGTATTCAAGTGATTTGTTTGACTCTCAGTTGCCTGGAGTTGTCTGATGGTGCGATCAATGGCATATAAACTTAATGAATAAATAGTCGGTCATGGAATCTATTCTGTGGAGCACAGTTAGAAAAGCCCTAGTCTAAGCAAAGAGTGGGTGTATATGTAAGATTTTTTAAAAATAGATTTTAATATAGATCCAATTAATTTCAGTTGCCATTTAAAAATTCTACCAAAAGAATTTTTCTCAGACTATTTTAGAAACTGTGTGATATACTTCAGTGTGGAGAAATGATGCTACATGTGGCTCATTGCACAAACAACTGTCCAGGATGCCAGGAGTATATTGTTCACATAACAATGTTCCCTGGCTACTCTTGGAAGCTGAACGGAATTTCAGAAAATAGCTTATATTATAGCAGGAAATCTGAGTACTGTGAGATGTAAAAACCCCAAATTTTGATACAATACGAAGACAAGTCTGGTTAACAAAACAAAGTTTTATTGGAGAAAAAAATAAAAATAAGAAGAAGAAAAGAAAAGAAAGGCGTTTGCAAACGCGGCCTCCTGGAGCCTTCCCAAAATGGATTGGGTTCCAAGAGCGCAAAGAGCAGTTTCCAAGCTATATAATTTATACCTTTTACAATGCAGTCATGCCTAAGAAACCCTCCCATTCCCTTTCTCTGTATTCTTTGAAATTGCTTTACATTTAAAAAGGTCATCCTAGCAATTTCTGTCCATCCGGCTGTGGTCTTTGTTTATTTGTAATTTCCACTTTGTGATCTTATCTTTGTTTATTTGTAATTTCCATTTTGTGATCTTATCTTTGTTTATTTGTAATCTCTACTCAAGTAGGTCATAATTCATTGTCTTTGCTGATTACTTTTTGTGATCACTTTACATAGACAGGAAACAGTAAACAGATTGGCAGTGCATTGCTACATTTACACTACAGTAAACATACAGTCTCATACATTGTTACATTTTATAAAATAATAATAATAATAATAATAATAATAATAATAATAATAATAATAATANTAGTAGTAGTAGTAGTAGTAGTAGTAAAGTTGGAAGGGACCTTGAAGGTCATCTAGTCCAACCCCCTGCTCAGGCAGGAAACCCTATACCATTTCGGACAAATGGCTGTCCAGTCTCTTCTTAAAAACTTCCAGTGTTGGAGCATTCACCGCTTCTGGAGGCAGGTTGTTCCACTGGTTAATTGTTCTCATTGTCAGGAACTTTTATTTCCTTCAGTACTTGTGGCCCAGTGACAAACAATGCTGAACTTATTTAATACTAGCTGTACCCGGCCGCATGTTGCTGTGGCTCAGTTTGGTTAAATGGAAAAGAAAGAAAAGAGAAAGCGCACGTTTGTAATATGTTTAATTTCACAATGCTTATGGGTATAAAAAAGCATGTTTTTACCTGTCAGAGGTGTGACATCTATATAATAGTAGGTATATAAAAACATGCGTGTATTCGAATGCAATGTTGTATCAAAATTTCAAAGCAATCGGTGAAGAAATTTCAGAGATTTAAGATTTTGAACAAACGAACATTTACATTTTTATTTATATAGATTTGCACACTATTTAAGCATAAGCATGCTTTCAGGCAGCTATCAGAACAGCACGGTCAGCATATTATTAAATAATGTGCTAACATCAACCAGGGGGATTGGTCTTTTTCTTTTGGTTTCTTAGAACAGTTCTTCCCAGTCTGTGTGATCATTAATATTCAGTTATTAGTCATTGTCTTGGCATTATAAGAATTGCAAACCAATAGATTTGGATTTCTTAAGATGGTGAATGTCTGCTTCTATCCTTTATTTTCTCACTAGTTTTTTATTGTGTTGTTTTTAATTATCCCAATAGCTCTTGGAATCTGATTGGAATGTTCACATAGCAGGAGATCAGCTTGATGGACTGGAAGGTGAAATGACCCCAAGCCTGATCAGAGAAACAGAATTAGAACTGATGAAAGAGAGACTTGAGGAAATCTGTTTTCTTGCAAAAGAACATGGAATAACATCAGAAGAGGTGACCTAATTGCTAAAAACATAAAAACAATATAGTATTAATCATACTTAGATTTTGAAGTTGATCATTAATTTGCTATAGGAGTATATTGGAAAAAGGCATTTCAGATTGCTATTCATACTTTAAGAAACCATATTCCATAAATCTGAATTTTATTGTTCTTTAGTTCTTTATAGAAAACAGGGCTACTTATTGGAGCACACACAGCACCTAATTAGTTAACTTGCATCTAAATATTGTTGACATTTAGAAATTGTTCTGCTTCCTATCCCTGGCTTTTCTATGAAGCTCCTCTTCAGGAACATGTTTTTATGGTAAACAGATAATTTAAATACCTAGGTTTAGAGCTATATAGACAAAAAACCTGGAATTCCTATTTTATAATGTATTAGCTTGGTACAGCTGTATCCCCAGTACTGGAGTATTTCACTTCTATTTTTTAAAAAGACCTCTTTATTTTAGTGGGAAAAGAGAAATATTGCTAGTCTGTGCAAGAATGGAAGACTGAAAGGTTTTGCTTTTAGCTTATAGAAAAGACTGAAAGAACTTCAAGATGGTAAAGGGTTTGTAACCCAAATCTTTTTGTGTGAAATTGCTGAAAGGTAGGTGGACAATTATGGGAAGACATGATATCAATCTTTAAATATCTCAAGGGCTCTTGTGCAGAGGATGCAGCAGCTTTGTTCTCTGTTGCTTCAGAGGTCACACTGAAAACCGAAGGACTTGTGTGAAAAGTAGACAGCCTTGGGAGATAGTAAATTTTCCTTTGTTAAACACATTTAAGCAGAGTTGGACAGACCTATGTCACAGACGTATAGCTGCATCTTTTATGATGAATCCTGCATGAGTAAGAGTTAGGTGAGATAATTATAATTATCACTTTTAACTCAGGTTTCCAAGTATAAGCTCTGAATCTTCATTTGGAAACAGAGAATTAAGTATTGGAAACATTGTTTACCACAGAGTTGTTTAATTGCTATTCTGCTACGAAGAATAGCTATGATATAAAACTGACTCTCTTACTTCCTCAATAGCTACCAATACCACTACTGCTTAGGAACTATCTTTAGTGTAAAGGAAAACAAAATAACCAAGGCACTTGATCAAACAAAGCAACTTGAAAAAGAATATCAAACAACTTCATGTGCTTAAATCACTTGTATTTAAAATGTGAAACTAGGTTGGCTAAAGAATATTTTGTTGCTTTCACCTCCCCATAGTTCCCCCTTGACAACAGTGTTGATGTAAGTTGTAATCTAATAAGGATATAAAGTATAAAATCAGAAGCTAATGGGTGATAGTATGCAGGCAGTTGCTTGAATCAGAGGTGAAATTTATTTTGAGAGCATAAGACACAATCAGCTGGTCAGAAAGTGGCCATCCTGAGCTCTCCCCTGCAATCCCCTTTTCTAGGAAAACCTAGTCTTTTTTCCTCCAAAGAGCACAAAAAGTTCTAAGAAAGTGCAGTTAGATGGGCTTCCAAAAGGGAGCACTGTGTGATCAAGGCATCCTGGAGTCAGTGGTTTCCCTTTATTTAATTGGAGGTGGAGGGGGCACTCCCATGGAGGAAACAACCTTTTGTCATTTAATTACCATAGGAAGAGCTCTGACTTCAAGGAAATGTTCACCTGAATGGTTGGTGCCTCCTGCTACATTTTAATCTTTGTGCTGAGTTCATTGTAATTTTTCACCTTTTATTCTCAATTGTAATTTTTAACCTGTTGCCCTGATAAACAAGTGGAAAAAACTGTATGGGCAGAGGAAGACAAAATGGTGGCAGAGTTTGATTTCCTTCCCACAATTTTTTAAAAGGCGAGACTCCAAAAATATATAGAAGATAAATACAATCCAGAAAATGCAAAGTTTTCCACTTGTCTAAAAATCCACTGAACTTGACAATATAGCTTAAAGAAATATTGGACATTAAAAAAAAATAAAGTTTTGGTCTAATGGAAAGAGTGAACATAAAGATTACTGGGTTGAGTTTGGAGAGGTCAGTTCCTTGTTCTTTTGTGAAATTATCTGGATGTGCTTAGGCTACCACTCCAATCTGTTCCAGAGGCTACTGATTAAGTGCTAAGACTTCTCTATGACTTTTGAGAAAAGAACAGAAATGAATGACATTTATACCAATTGAAATGTATTTCATGACTATTTTTCCTCTTAGGATTTAAATAGAGTACAGATAGTAAGAGATTTCTTACTGGGCAATCACGAACTTCAAAGTAATTTGCAAACAGAAATGCAGAACCTAGAAGACCTGGTAAAAGAACTCAATGGTGAAAAAGAATTGGCTGGAGACATCCAAGAAGTGAATTGATGAACAATGAATCAAGTATGCACACTTTAAATATTCTGCTTGTTTTTTTTATTTCAGTACAATGTAACTTTTGTCCCATTTTATGAAGTTTTAGAAGAAAGTATCATTGTACAACTAAATCAAAACTTTAAGGTGGATTTTTGCTTAAATGCATGAAGGTAGAACATTCATGGGGGGGGCAAGATACTATTTTTAAGAATGAAAAGCAGAGGAAATTGGTTTAAATAAATGTACATTTCTTATTTTCAAGTGTCCTTCTTTAGGAATGCTGTGTCAGTGATGAATGAAAGCAAGAGCTACAGCTACAGCTTAACAACTCCCTAAATGCTTTGCTATTTTTAGAAGTAACATCTCAAAAGACAGAAAACCTTCCGCATGCTTGTCTTTGGCTGGCCAATGGTTTCCATAGCTTGTGCTTTCCTGTGCAAGCCCTTTTCCATTTTCTAGGCGAGCACCAGTCCAGTTACATTGCATGTCATCTCTACAATTTCTTCAGATTCCTGCATTTCAGATCCCTGCTTAGTGATTTGGTTCTTACACTGTGTTAAATCTTTTAAAACTGATTTATAGAATAAGTTAAATTGGCCTAGTACATACACTAAACACAAAACCGTAAATTATTAGAGCTAAGTTTGCATATAGTATTGTTCACAATGTAATTTGGGATTAGCATATCTGCAACCATACCTTGTAAACTATGAGCTTATTTACAAATCATGGTTAAAATGATTTAATGCAGTGCCCAAACCTGGTTACTATGTCCTACTTCTTTGAACCATTTTCTCTTGGCAAACTTTCCATTTCTTCTTCGTCAGTAAAATTTCAACAGAAGTCTCTTCTAGATAATTTCCTTTATGCCATTTCCCTAAGCATTGTTTCTAATTTGTGTTTCCTTCAATTTTTCCTTAATTCACTTACCTACTGAAGTTATTTTAGGCGCCATATCCAACTTCTTTTTCTTCACAGCTTTTTATGCTTCAGATTCTCTTCTCAATCTGCTGCTGTGATACAACAATCTACTTTAAGGGCTGAAAGTAGTATTTTCCTGAAAAAGGATTGTTTTTGGATCACATCAATCAATGAGAACCCACTTTGCCAGAATTTTGTATTTATTTACTTGATTTTTATCCCACTTTTATTATTTATAAATAACTCAAAACGGTGAATGTACATAATATCACTTCCTCCTCTTTTCCCTACAACCGCCTACCTGTAAAATGAATTGAGTTGGGAGAGTAACTGTCCAGTCACCCGGCCAGGTATCATGCCTAATATGGGACTGTATGGTACATATACAAAAATCTCAACACTTTTTTTTTTAATTTTATCACGTTATGATCGTTGTTTTTCTCCATGCTACTATACACAAATTAGTGAAATACACTCACGTGAGCAATATTTGAGGCTCATCAAATAGAAAATTTACATAGACATTTGTAGAACTTTTTTCTCTTCCTGTTTTCCCACAAGTGTAGGGTTCGTTTTCTTCTGATCAACCATATGTTGATACATTGCTTGCAACAGGAGCTTTAGACAGTTCAAATGAGTATAAAGATTTATTGCAGGTTTAAGCCCTCTACAAAATCTGAGCTACTAATAGTCAAGGGAAATGAGCAGGAATTAAGAGGTATTCAAGGTGCGCTGGACTTAGATCTCTTGCGGGCACATAGGGACTTCTGACTTATGATGCGTTTGACCCCTCCCTAATAACAAAATGGAAATTAAATGAACTGAAGGGAAATCAAATTCTTCTAAATACACGTACATAATTTTTGAAGGAACTCGGCAAAGCTCCTTCAAGGTTGTTCCAAACTTCTTGAAGAACTAACTACAGATCGTCTGTGGATGTAGGCTGCCTCAAATTCTTCTGTCTTTTCATGTAATCCCAAACAAACTCAATGATGTTGAGATCAGGGCTCTGGGGAAAGCCAAACCATCACTTCCAGGACTTCTTGTTCTTCTTTACACAGAAGATAGTTCTGAATGATTTTGACTGTATGTTTGGGGCTGTTGTCCTGCTCCAGAATAAATTTGGAGCCAAACATACGCCTCCCTGATGGTATGGCATGATGGATAAGTATCTGCCTGCATTCCTCAGCATTGCGGACACCATTAATCCTGACCAAATCTCCAATTCTGTTTGCAGAAATGCAGCCCCAAACTTGCAAGGAACCTTCAGCGTGCTTCACTGCTGCCTGCAGACTCTCATCATTGTACCGCTCTCCAGCCTTTCCGCGAACAAACTGCCTCTTGCTACAGCCAAATATTTCAAAGTTTGATTCATTAGTCCAGAGCACCTGCTGCCATCTTTCTGCATCCCAGTTTCTATGTTTTTGTACATAGTTGTTTCCATGTTTGGAGGTATGGCTTTTTGGCTGAAATTCTTCCATGAAGACCATTTCTGGCCAGACTTCTCCAGACAGTAGATGGGTGTACCTGGTCCACTGACTTCCGCTAGTTTTGTGCTAATGGCACTGCTGGATATCTTCCAGTGTCAAAGGGAAATAAGCATGATGTTTCATCTCCTGCATTATGTTTCCTTGGCCGACCACTACATCTACATTGCTCAACATGTCCTGTTTGTTTGTGCTTTCTTCAAAAGAGCTTGAAACCCATCTGCTTTTAAATCTTTGCCTGGGAGAGATCTGGCTGATGCAGTAGAACTACCTTTTGTCTTAATCCTGTGCTGTTTTGCCATGGTGTATGACTCTGACACAAAACTGTCTTCCCCATTCTCTCCTTAGTAGCAGTTTGGCTGTTCCTCACCTAGTTTAAGCCTCCCACACAGCTGTTTGTTTCAACCTACATATGAAATTGATGATCATTAGCAGCTGCTTGGTATAATTGGTTAATCATACACCTGACACTAATTCTAAAAAATCCCTGACTTTGTGCAAGTGTAAGAATTTATGCTGTTTTGAAGGTAAAGAGTGGTGACACCAAATATTGATTTGATTTGGATTTCTGTTCATTTACTTTCCATTTTGTTAATTGATAAAAATAACCTATTAACACTTCTATTTCTGAACGCATTCTTAATTTACAGCATTTTTGCACAACTGCCTAACACTTTTGCACAGTACTATAGACAAAACATTAAAAGTTTGCCTTAGAAAGGACAAAAGACAGAAACACATACACATATATTATCGCCCCGGTTGATTATTGATAAATATATTGCAACAATATTGGTTTCTCCCCCTTGCAAAGGCCAACAATTTATAAACTTCTACATCTATTTACAATCAACTTGGCCTGTCCTCTATCTACTATATGGGAAAACAAAGTAGTTAACAGGTAAGTCAACAGCAAAATTAAACTTCAAAGCTCCCTGTTAACAATCTGTTATTGCAGTGATGACGAACCTTTTAGATACCGAGTGCCCAAACTGCAACCCAAAACCCACTTATGCATCGTCGGGTGCCGGGTGGGCGTGGCCCATTGGGTGGGTGTGGCCCATTGGGTGGGCGTGGCTGCGGTGATAACGGCAGACTGGGTGGGACTAAAAAGTTCAAGCAATCAATTCCAACTTTGCAAGATCTTTTTTTTTCCCCACGAGAAGTTGAAATTGACTGATTGATTGGACTTTTTTTTTTTTGCACACGGCGGCAGAGGCCTAAAGTGAAAAGATTTTATAAAACCCAGCGGAAGGCCTAGGACTGGGGCAATGGCCTGCGTGCCCACAGAGAGGGCTCTGAGTGCCGCCTCTGGCACCCGTGCCATAGGTTCACCACCACTGTGTTATTGTATTTAACTCATAGAAAGTCTACAACAGCTTGTCTGCCACAAATCACCACGACCATGATCTCTGATCTATCCAGGATCAAAAATCTTCTTTGGTTAATAATAAAACTTGCTTCCAAAATCCTAGACCTCTGCTGTAAATATCTCCACCACATCCATTGTTAAGACAGTCTCTCTATAAACCAAAATACAAAATCTCTTGTAAGTTGTTATCTGGTTAGATACAATAGATCCATTTTCCCAAATCGATCCATCTTCCCAGGAAAGTCCAGTCCAAATGATTTTCCAGTTGGGTATAGTAAGTCCATTCTCCCATCTCCATCAATCTTCTTAAGATAGTCCAGTTCATCACTCATCCAATCTGTCAATTATAAGTCTGTAAAATGCAGATCTCCTTCAGACTTCTGCAACAGGCCTTCAGTTTTCCAGCCAAACTATTACTTCTTCAAATCTGCCAGCAACAACTTAGCTGCTGTTGTTTGCATCTGGATGTCCTTTTTAAGTTGATTTGAAAATTTGGTAATTTTATCAAGCTTTTTACCAAAGTTTTCAATTTGAGCTTGTAGACTAAAGCATTTTTCCCTCATGTCTTCTCACAAGGCTTTATCTTTAAGTTGGTGCATTGTTTGCATTTTTGATATACTTCAGATTCTTTCTCTGAGCTTACACAACCAAAGAAAACAATTCCTTTCAAAGATGTTAAAGATACTCTAACAAAATGGCTACAGAAAACATTGAAATAATATTTCTCATAATGAAGGTGTGAAGAAAAAAAGTTCATTTTTTCTGTTTTTGGTTCAACTATAGCAACATGGAATACTTTATAATTTGATTATAAAGGGGAAAAGTTCTAGACATTTTCAGAAAAAAGAAACTTATTTTTTTAAAAAAACTTTCATTTTGGATACATTTTATAATCTGCATTATGGAACAAATGAAAGATGTATTATTCTCCTAGCACCGTGGTTCTCAACCTTTTTAATGCCGCGACCCCAACCGGTCGTAAGTCGAGGACTAAACCGGTCGTAAGTCAAGGACTAAACCGGTCGTAAGTCAAGGACTAAACCGGTCGTAAGTCAAGGACTAAACCGGTCGTAAGTCGAGGACTACCCAACCGGTCGTAAGTCGAGGACTTTCCCTGCCCGGGAGCGCCATGCATGCGTGGTTCCGCCCCCTGCGCCGGCCGAGGCGTAGCTGGCAAGCGGCAGAGACGGAGCAGGCCGACCACCAGCTGGCCCAGCCCAAGGGAGGTAAGGCACCCGCCGGAAAAGGGGAAAAAAATGGCGGACAAAAAAAATGGCGGACAGCCTTGCTT